TGGCTCCTTCTCCAGCGCCGATTGTGCTACAAAAACCAGGGTTATTTTGAGAGACATTGGCTGCACTTCTAGCAGCAACCGTGCCACCAAAAGCTGATGCTTTAATCCAAATTATAATCTTTTCCTAATCATAACCAAGTGGTTTTTGTGACTTAACATAACCACACGTTAACCACAGCATTGTTGAAATGTAAAGAAACATGAAGTTTTAACATGTTTGCTGGATGATAACACAAATGTTTTATATCCATGGTTTGGAGGAAAGTAAAATGCCAACATTTATTTTGGCCTCTGCATTCTAACTTTCATCCAGGTGGTTTTACAGTGCCATGAATACTAAAGTTTCTAGCATCAGCAGTAAGTTGTAAAAATGAGTGAAACCACAAATCCTTGCAGTGTTAGTTCCATGGCCTCTGATGAAAGGAAAACCTTTCCTCCTCTCACCCCCATTTTTCACTGGATTCCTTTCTAATTCATCCCTGTAAGTCATCAAAAGAAAGATACAGTTTCTTGGAATATTTTCTTTTCAAACATTTCTGTTGCTCCTGAAGCTTAAAGACGCAGCTGGCAGCAGCTGATGTTTTCAATGCTCCACAAGCTTTTTTTTTTTTTTTCGCAAGTGTCACAATGTTGCTTTCTACCTGTCAGTCACATAAGATTAGAGAGACCAGCGAGCTGACATGTTGGACAAACGCAACGTCACAGGACTGAAAGGTTTAACAGATTAGCCTCTTCTCTCGTGGGAAGACCAACACCCCAGGTATCAATCTTCTGTGACTGCACGCTGTAGCCTGCAGGGCTGGGAGCTTGAAACAAATAATACTGCCTGCCTAGGGGAACTAAAGGGACAAATGTTGTTATGCAAAGTGGGCAGAGGAGGTGACAGAGATGAGATCACATTTGACAGCTTAAAAAATGATTGCCATTAATTCACAGTTGCCTTTCAGTGTCAGTGCATGGAACAGCTTTGGATACAGTCAATATCATATGTGCCCTGCTGGGGTTCAGATGCTTGATGACCTTGCTATTTATAAGTAAAGTCCCATCCTTTTATGCCGGATAACAGACTTTAGCTGGGGCAGGTACACACCAACCTGTTCTCATTTTCAGGGCATCATACAGCCTGGTCAGTGGCCCTTGGCCTCTGTTACCAACGCACAACCCTACAGCATCTGTATGAGGCACCCTAGACTTTCAGCTAACTCCAGTATAATCCCATCCGCAGCAATAACACAATAGAAACAGTGAGAAAGTCTGAGTAGGGCAGGGTGGAGGGTTGATGAATGGGTCTAACACACTGGATTTTCACTCAGGAGATCGGTGTTCATGTCCTGTGTGAAACTAAAAGGCAACTTGAGTTTTTTATACCCACGTAATGAAGATACTGGTGTACGTGACATGACATAGTCGTCACTTGGTAAAGTCATCAAGTCACATACTCGTTAAGGTACTCTATGTGGTTATTTCAACCCAAACCACCCTTTGCGGCCCTGTGGGATGAACAAAACTCCACCACTGACCCAAAATAACCACATAAGACACCTTAACACACTCATATCCATGGGATTCATTAACAAATAAAACAAGGAAACAAGACAACAAAAACTCCCAGGCTGAGAGGCAGCAGGACCAGCAGTCCCCACACCAGAGGCCTCTGTCCTTTGCTGCTGGCACAGGAGCTCTTGAGCACCTCCTCCATGCCAGGTGCAGTGCACCTCGTTAAGTAATGCAGCAGACCTGAGCAGATCTACTGTACAATGGAGGGAAAAGGGACAGCAGCAGAGAACACATGCAGCTGTAACACCTATCCAAGTAGTTTTGTTGCCTAAACCTAAAGTAGTTTTAGTGGCAAAAATGTCTTGTTGTGTCACAGTGTGCACTTCCAACCTGCCATTAATGCCATTCTCTCAGTTTTAACCCAATAAATTTCCACTCACCCTGCCTCTCCACCACACGTACCTCATCAAGCCAACCCAGGAAGCATTTTTTGGTTTAAAAAACATCTAATAGCTGTCTACATGATAACCTGACGTCTAGGCTAAATCACGGCTGAATTTGGGCTGTCAGTGAAAATTTGGTAGACGTCTAACCAAAGTGTAGACGTCATCAATTATACGGCTATGTAGAGACCATGTCCAAAAAATGGAGATAAACATATTTTAATTACTGTTGACTCTCCATACGTGATTGAATATCATACCGCATGCCATCTGCAATGGTGAAAATTACATTTAATCAATTTCAAAATTAAATCGGCTAGATTTGCGTTACATGTAGCTAGACTAAACCGGAGTTAAATATAGCCAATACGTTTAAATCACGACTATTGCTTGCTGGGAACTCTGCTCACCTGTGGTTCATTACTCCCTGCCACTATAGATGCTCTAGCCTCACAGACTCTTGTTACTGGATTGTTCTTTCTCTCTATGCAAGACTTTCCAGCGTTCAACTGTTTGCTGTTTGTGTGCACCCAGTGGACGCTAGTGACCCACCTACAATCTGCTTGGGCATTCTATGCTGTGTGCTTTATGCAGAACTGGTGTCTTGGAAGGCTCAAAGCCAAGAAATCAACTCTTACTGTTGTTTCAACTCCCTGCTCATTCTGTGTTTGACAAGCAAAATATTAAAGGTCACTACGAACTTTCCTGTCTGTCTGTGGTGGTGCTGCTATTGGGTTCAAAACGGTCTTGTTGGCCAAGTCTAAAGGAGTCTTAGAAGTGAAACTGTCTTGTTGCACAAACCTGAAGCAGTTTTAGTGGCAAAACTGTCTTGTTGCCTCTATTTAAAGTAGTTTTAGCAGCAAAACCATCTTGTTCGCTCAACCTAAAGTAGTTTTAATGGCGAAACCATCTTGTTGACTAAACCTAAAGTAGTTTTAGTAGTGAAACTGTCTTGTTGCCTCAACCTAAAGTTGTTTGAGTGGGGAATTGTTTTGTTGCCCAAACCTAAAGTAGTTTTAGTAGTGAAACCATCTTGTTACCTCAATCTAAAGTAGTTTTGGTGGCGAAACCATCTTGTTGCCCAAACCTAAAATAGTTTTAATGGCGAAACTATCTTGTTGCCTCAATTTAAACTAGTTTTATTGGTGAAACTAGTTGCCCAAACCTAAAGTAGTTTTTGTAGTGAAACTGTCTTGTTGCCTCAACCTAAAGTCATTTTAGTGGGGAACCATTTTGTTGCCCAAACCTAAAGTAGTTTTAGTAGTGAAACCACATTGTTGCCTCAACCTAAAGTAATGTCAGTGGCAAAATCATCTTGTCGGAGAAACCTAAAATAGTTTTAGTAGAGAACACGTCTTGTTGCCCAAATCTAAAGTGTTTTCAGTGGTGAAACTGGTGGTGTCTTGTTACCTCAACCTAAAGTATTTCAGTTGCAAAACCATCTTGTTGGCCAAACCTAAAGTAGTTTTAGTAGAGAAGCCATCTTGTTACCTCAAATTAAAGTAGTTTTGTTGGCAAAACCATCTTGTTGCCCAAACCTAAAATAGTTTTAATGGCTAAACTATCTTGTTGCCTTGATTTAAACTAGTTTTATTGGTGAAACTAGTTGCCCAAACCTAAAGTAGTTTCGATGGTGAAACCATCTTGTTGCCCAAACCTAAAGTAGTTTTAGTAGTGAAACCACATTGTTGCCTCAACCTAAAGTAATGTCAGTGGCAAAATCATCTTGTCAGAGAAACCTAAAATAGTTTTAGTAGAGAACACGTCTTGTTGCCCAAATCTAAAGTGTTCCCAGTGGTGAAACTGTCTTGTTACCTCAACCTAAAGTATTTCAGTTGCAAACCTATCTTGTTGGCTAAACCTAAAGTAGTTTTAGCAGTGAAACCTTGTTGTTGCCAAATCTAAAATGGTTTTAGTTGCAAAAACATCTTGTTGACTAAACCTATAGTAGTTTTAGTGGTGAAACAGTCTTGTTGGCTAAACCTAAAGTAGTTTTGGTGGTGAAACCATCATGTTGCCTCAACCTAAAGTGGTTTTAGTGGCAAAACAATCCTGTTGCTTGAACCTTAAATAGTTTTGGTGGAGAAACCCTCTTGTTGCCTAAACCTCAAGCAGTTTGAGTGGCAAAACCTACATTTCCTGAGAAGACAGAAGTTTATTTTGAAAGACACTGTAGAATGACGGGGTTCATAGAGTGTCGTAGTTTGAAGCGTAGGGCAAATGCTCAAGCTGCAGTGTTTGATGAGTTGGGAGTGAGAGTGTGTTGTACACAGTGTTGGCTGCAGCTGAAGGTTTGTCTTATTTCAAGGACTAAATACAGTTTAAATGGAAATGTATATAACTATAGATTTCTTCATAAGTTCTCCACTTCCCCATCAGCACTTAGAATCAGGTGGTCAATTCATTAGCCAGTTTGGGAATGCCTTGCAAAACATCAGCCTGTCTGTAGTCTTCAGGAGCTTTAGTCACACATTCTCCGCACATTAACATCTAACACACTGAGCTTAAATTCGGTCCCAGCTGACCTGGACAGTCATGGTTTCTGTTTAACTCAACTCACATCCAAACCACTATAGCGTTTAATGAGCCTGAATCCAATTTAAATAGAATTTTTTGCCATGACATAAAATGTAACGTTGTCAGACTCCGCTTCTTTTTATATCTTAACACTTTCTCACATCGTAGAAATAAAACACATCATGTCACCCCTGACAAAGTTCTTCCCTCTGTGTAATTTTCCTGTTTCAGTATTCGTAACGTAGAGCAAGTTTACAAGCTCGTAAATGTCACAAAAAGTGTCTGCTCTGTGAGTATCCTGAGGCAGCTGGTGCATGAGGCAGTCTTGGATGTGGAAGCTACATTAGACAAACATTGTACACAAATATTATATTGCTCTGGCAGAGCAGCGTGCAGGTCCATCAGAAGCTGAAGCCTATGAAAGTAGGACTCTAACATCTAATATGTTTTCCTGTTGTAACTTCATAGACAAGAACTGTATTTACTGAATGAATGACCTTTCCTCTCCGTCTCTCTCCATCTCATCTGCTGGTTTTCCCGCAGAGTGTCTCAGAACCCGAAGTCCCTGCAGTTCTTCCTCAGTCCCAGCAAGGTATTGAGGAGTTGTCAGATGCTGTGGCGGGGCTGAGCACCGTGGAGGAGGTCATGAAGTACCTGGAGCCGGAGCGATGGCAGCTGGATATGGAGGAGTTGTACAAACCTACATGGCATGTGCTGGGGAAATCCTTCATCCATAATAAGAAGGCCAGAGGTAGGACACTTTTAAACTTGAACATTACAATTAGATTTAATATAAAAACCAAGAGTGCAATATAACAGTCATGTATAGTCATAAATTAGTAACAGAGTTTGTTTGGACAGGAAGTGACTCTGATCATGTTTTCTCTGTGTCTTTGAGGAGGAGCCGATCTCAATCTGTTGAGGGAGGAAGTTCGACTGTACAGCTGCACACCACGCAACTTCTCTGTATCCTTGCGTGAGGAGCTGAAGAGGACAGATGCTATTTTCTGGCCAAGCTGCCTCCTGGTGAAGCGCTGTGGCGGAAACTGCGCCTGCTGCTCTCACCGCTGCTACGACTGCCAGTGTGTTCCCGCCAGGGTCACGAAGAAATACCATGAGGTAAATATCAAGCTGATCTTGAAACACAAGCAACATGTAATCTGTTCGGTCATTTTGAGACATTAAAGTAGAGTCTCTGAGTTTTTAAATGAATGCCACTTGTGACATTGCTTATTTAGACTTGTACTACACTGTATTTCCAGCTGAGGTCATATACAGTGAATTAGCTTTTACATTTGCATTAGATTTTGAAAATGCAGTTTTCAGTGGGTCTTTAACTGGATGAAAAAAACCAGTTTGTTCGGAATAGCAAAGGATGTAGCCTCCTCTCTGCTAATGCTTAATGAAAAATAACTGTGGGATTAACTGAAGTGTCAGCAGAATCACTGCACAGTTTAACAAAATGTCACCTAAAAAGGAAACATGAGGATGATGCAGCTTGCTATGCTCAAGGAATTTAGAAATGTTCCCACACTAGCAGCAAAGACTACATTTGGAAATTTTGGTTGATTCCTCTATATGGTTAATATTTACCCTTGCAACAACCTTGGAGCTTATTCACAACTTTATATAGAATTTACATAACAATTTATAAAAACTTGATTACCCCCTTGCGGTTGTATGCCTCCCCCAACCAGTTAAGTCACAGTTTACATCCATGAGTCATGTGTTGCTATGACAGTAAACATTAAAATGCTACAAATATGCATTTTTGCTGTGAAGAAGCCACAAATTCCAAAATGTGGATGCTTCACCCATCTTCAGCCCAGCAGCACAGAAGATCTGTACAATCACTATAGTTTCAGGATTAGTGTCACCAATTCAGTATCTGACCCACTGTCTCCCCTTCTGTTCCTGAGATGTGACTTGAATAATGGCCAGAAAACATTAAGACGTTGACCTTTGCTCTTTTGGATATAAAATGTCACATTTGTGTGAAATTCTGTCATAATTGTGTAATAATTCTTGAGTTATCCCTCAAAGTGTTTTGTGAAGTCAGAGTGACCTTGACCTTTGACCATCTATTTCTAATATGTTCATCCTTGAGTCCAAGTGGGCATCAGTGCTAAATTTAAAGAAAATCCTGAGCTACTGCGTTCACGAGATTAGGACAGATGTGAGGTCACTGTGACCTTCAATCATCAAAATGCTTTATTCACCTCAAAATATTCACCTGTACAAAGTATAAAGAAATATACAAGAGGAACTACTACAAATATTAAGCACACAAACCAACTTTTCAAAATGCTCTTCACAAAACCAATGTTGTAGTCAAGATTACCATAATTGAGACCATCATGATTGAGACCAGAGTGTATTGAGATTGAGACAGGACCAGTGTGAATACCACACTGCAGAACACACTTGAAATAAATTGTGGAACTTGCAAACCAAAGGCATCTTCAAATTGATTTGAAAGATCCTCATTCCCATAAAAAACACCCACAGAAAGCAAAATGATTCCTCTTCTTTCACCTCTGTTATTGCCATATATTGTATAAATGTGTGTATGTCTACGTGAACAATGAGAAATGGCTTAATAAAATAATCTAAAGGCACTACAGAGGGAAATTTTTTTATGTGTGTGAATTGATCTTTGTTTTCTATGAGAAAACAAATAAAAACATTTATCACCGAAATCTAATCAGATCATGATTAGAATACAATGGGTGCACAATGGGCGTTTGTGCCAAATTTAAAAGAAATTTCCTCGAAGCATTCTTAAAATGTCACGTTCATTAGAATGGAATGGACAGACAGACAGACACCTGGAAAACACAATGCCTCCTGCCGCAGCTGTCACCAATGACAGAGAAACATGACATGACATTTCTTGAGCACATTTATTCTTCAATTTGGTGATTCCATTATCGGTTGTGGAGTGCCACAATGATGGCTTGGCATGAAATTTAAGTATTTGATAAAATTAACTTCCCAGTATTATCTAAAGTCTTAAGACACATTATCTTTTAGTGCAGTGGGTCAGAGAGGTCAAAGTAAAAACCTTGAAAATGATAAAAGCCAAGAAAAAATACATAGGCACACAGAATGGTTTCATTTCTGAATGATGAACCCACTGAATATGCTCTACATGAAATGTTTGATGTCCAGCTGTTAACTCAAGCATCCTCCTCTCTGACAGGTTCTGCTGTTGAAACACCGAAGTGGTGTCAAAGGCCTGCAGAAGTCCATGACTGATGTGCCCTTGGAGCACCATGAGGAATGTGCCTGTGTGTGTAAAGATGACTGGGACTGACCTCAGACACGTGTAATAGCTGCCACTGGAATCACACAGGACTTTAGAAATGAACCTCTGCCGCTGTTGCAACGCTCTGTATCTCATCCACTTCCACTGGGAGCTAACAAGATTGTCCCTTTATCCTGTTGTCCTTTCGCTAATTGGATGAAGCCGAACAGACTGGAATCTAATAAATCTTCCGAATGGATTTGACTGCTGTGGAATACCAATAGTGTGCTCTGAGTGCGTTTTAGAGAGACAAAAATTCACTGGAGCAGATCTGGACTATTCCCTACATGCTCTGAAGACTATTTTCTTCAGCTCAGCTCATAGATAAGAACATTGAGGTGTTTTTGCATCTTCTTGAGGTCTCTTTTAAAGTTCAGCCAGCGTGGGCTGATAGTGTCATGGAAAATGGGAGCTTCTTTGTACAAGTACTTTTTTATGTCTATAAGAGAGCTGGCTCCAGCTGCCTTACTCCCTCTGCTCTTCTATTATTACCACCACGGCAAGGAAAGGTGATTTTTCATGAGCAGTTTTCCTTTGCTGCCCTCTTGTTTCACCATGGATTTAATCCGCAGCCATGATATTGCTGACATGCCTTGCTATTGAGACTGTACTATGTGTAAATATTTCAGTTACATTTTTTTTTCTCTGTACTATCATGCCTTTTCTACCAAAGATTCTCAAGGAGAAGATAAAAATTGCACATGTAGAATCAGTTGGGTGTTGTTCGTTACAACCCTTCATTCGACCCATCTCAGCAATGTCAAATCAGCTTCAGGAATGCCCAGCATCCAGCAGTTCTTGCTACACTTGAGATTATTCATATTCAATATTTATTTGTTTAATGAAAGGGAAAATTAGGTCCAAAATGTGCTACATGCGTCTCTGTACAGTAGTGTTAGCAGTTTTCATTCTTAGTCATTTTACATTGCCATTGTGTCATGGATGTTTTTTCATTTTCTGTATGCCAAAGTTATTTATCTCTACTTTTGCAATAACTGTTTGTGTATTTCATTGTACTGAACATCAAAAATAAATTCTTCCATTTCTAATTGGAGGTACTGTACTTGGTAAACAGTGAACAAACTCAACAGAGAAGATTTAGAGTGGCTGAAACAATAACAAAAGCAAAGCCAATCCAAATTTTTCTTTGGTTTTTTTTTGTTTTTTTGCTAGACAAGACAAGACATTTAAAGACTTGCAGAAATGATAATACTATTTGGAAAAGATGGAAAAAAAATACTATATGTAGTGTGCTATTTGTAGGGCTTGTAATCACCATTGATCTCTCAAATCAATTCAAATCTGATTCACAAGATCCCAGTTCAATTTGATTCTGATTAAACATTGATTAAGTTGGGGATATTTTAGTTACAATACCAATTTTGCTTGCATATGAAAGAGATTAATGCTGTAAATTGCACAAGGTGTCACAAACTGACTCAGTAAATGTGACAAGTAGGGCGTCCACACAAAAAACTTAGTTAAAAAAAAGAAGCATAATTTATTAAACTAAGATTAACTTAAATAACAAATGGAGTGTCAGCAAGTCAGTAATGAAAGCCATGCGTGGATGTGTGTCAGGTGTGCTGTGGAGATGTTGAGGGTGCAAACCAAAAGCAATGATGCCAGGTGGACGTCTGCTGCAGGAAGGGAGAGAGTGAGTGAAAACATGAGGCAGCTTTTACAGCCTGGAGGGCCCAGGTGAGCTCAATCAAGGCAACGACCCTCCCACGTCAGCCAACTGCCTGATGAGGTTGGCTAGGAGGGGCGTCACAAAGGAACTCTCTAACCTGGTGCATTATTAAAAATGTTAATGTGCTTATCCTGTTAGGGGTTGCGGAGGGGCTGGAGCCTATCCCAGCTGACAGTGGTCCAGAGGCAGGGTACACCCTGGACAGGTCACCAGACTATCACAGGGCTGACACATCGAGACAGACAACCATTCACACTCACATTCACACCTACGGACAATTTAGAGTCACCAATTAACCTGCGTGTCTTTGGACTGTGGGAGGAAGCTGGAGTACCTGGAGAAAACCCACGCTGACACAGGGAGAACATGTAAACTCCACACAGAAGGGCTCCCCCACCCCGAGTTTCAAACCCCCCATCCTGGGTTCCAACCAGGATCCCTCCTGCTATGAGGCAACAATGCTAACCACTGTTCAACCGTGCCACCACTAAATATATATGTACATATATAGAAACAAATCTGAAATGCAACAACACATCTGCCTTTAGGTTTGGCAGTTCCTTCAGTGGAGCAGCTCCAGGCGTGTTTTGTTTCATCTCAGTTTCGCTAGTCTCTCAAGTGGCCAGATCTTGTTGTCCAAGGAACCCAAGGTTGGCTCAGTGGAACTAGCGTGGTTAAAGGTCACACATCCGCGGGGACAAAGGCTGGCCACATGAGACTAACTGGGTTGAAGCTTCATGCAACCCCGGGGAGAAGGCATATATTAAAAGATCAGTCTCTGGATTTTATTAGTCTATACTGGATTATTCACATTCATGATTTGAGTTTAGAAAATAGATTTTTTTTAAAATCTAGTTGTAGCTATTAGCACATGTGAGTGGGAAACACACTAAACATTTGTAGATAAAGTAGGTAAAGAGGTTCTCAGTGAAGTATAGAAGATCAATGTATATCATTCCACCCAAATGTAGGTCATCAAATATGGGTCAGTAACCTGCTTCACATTCAACCTATAAAGGACAGTCTGGATTTTGGACTTGAGAGTTGTGTTTGTTTCTCATGTCACCCTTAAATCTTATATTACAAGCATTACCTTAAAACATAAAGAGTAAGCACTCCTCCCTAAAGCTTTATCTATTGTTTATTTATTTCACCTTATCAGACACCAAGCAGCGTCGTTCCTTCTCTCCTCGGCCATCAGGTCACTCAGGAGGAGGTTCTCATTTGTCCATCTCACGCTGCTGTCCTGGCCAATTATTCTGATCTAATGTGCGCCCTGGCAGGCATCTGCGGTGACGCCAGATGCTACTGCATAAACCCGCCGGCTCCCAGTTCCCAGTGTGGTTTTTGTAATATTAAACAGACTGCCTTCCTTCGTCGGTGCAGTTTTTCTTTTCAGAGGAAACCTCACTGCACTGGCACAAGATGTGACACAGCACGGGCAGTTGGTCTGGTTCTCGGCGTGTTTGTGTATGCGTGAGTGCGTGTGTGTGTGCAAGTAGATGTGTTCGACTACAATCCACCACTTGACGCTACCACCCTCACCCACATGCCCCCCCCCCCCCCCCCCCCCCCCCCCCCCCCCCCCCCCCCCCCCCCCCCCCCCCCCCCCCCCCCCCCCCCCCCCCCCCCCCCCCCGCTCATTGCCTCCTTCCTTGTGAAACCGAAGCAGCCTCAGGCAGGCTAGACCGCAGCAACACGGTGCAATTTATGTGTCTCTACTTAACGCAAGAAACAAAATTTTAATTTATTTTGTCTCTGAGGGAAAACAAACTCTTAACCTGCGCCCAACTTAGAAGTGTTGTTCAACTTGTGGGCTGAAGAGACAAGGACAAGGGCAGCGTGAATAGAAACTCAAACTTTTCTAACAACATATCCAACCTGCGCTGTCACTGTGCAGAACATTTCACAAGGTTGTGCAGACACGACAAGCGCAGTTGCTATAAGAACAGCATATGCTACCTTAGAACCAGAGAATCTCACTGGCTGAAGTCTTTCAAACCTTTTCAAGTTTGACCAAACACTGAGGCACAATGACAGCGTCTCTGCCTCCTCTACATCATCTCCACAGCAGATGCAACACACTCAGCTCCTCCTACAAAGACTCGTTTAATGAAATCACAGGACTAACCTCTAACGAATTACAGGTTTGACCTTGCCTCTGCTTATCTGAATAGCTGAAAAGATGAAGCCTCCTACACCCCTGTATACATCATCTGAGGAAATAATAAATCCAAACTCAGTGCAGTGCTTCACAGATGTAAGATTTGTCCCTGACATTTATCCGTCAGTGGAAAGTGTGGAGGCTGCTTCGATTTTTATCTTACCTGGTTTCTTTACTGCTCATACAAATCCATTTGAATTCATCAGTTGCACTTTGTTACAGACATGAAAAATATATGATGTAAATTGAATATAATGGATCAAAGGTTTCTGAAACCTATTAAGACAAATAGCCCTGTTGTAATCGTGCAAGTGCAAAGCAAAAGGTCCTGGACTATGTGGGTGTCTCCAAGGCTTAAGGGCTGGGTGAAGGTGAACACAAATCAGAGAGCATGGTGATCACGCTGTCAGCCGGTCACATCACTGGCCTCATCGCTCTGACGCAGCTGTGCCAATCACAGAGAAGCATGACAACAATATAAAGACAGTTCTTCAGGAAATCGTATTGTCTGGATGATGCAGAGCGGCATGACGTGAACACACAGCATCACAAAGCTGCAGCTAAAGGTGTGCGTTTTTATCTAGTATGTACAAAAAGAAAGTTGGAAAGGAGGCTGTGATGGAATTACATCATAAAGTGTTGACATAACAGCACAGAAATAGAATAAATAGAGAGGACGTTGAACTGTTTGTCATGGTCATTGAAGAAAACAGTGACTGTTTTTAGTTGTTATGGTGACAACACACATCAGTCACCCTCACTAGTCTGAGAACGCTGTTTTGGCCCATTCTTACACCTGTTTTCCTCATTAAACAGGAAAATAAAACCACACACCAATCCAAGTTTCTCTCTTTCATCAAACGGAGACTAACATTAGTTTAATTGCCTTGTTAATTCATCATAAAACACACATTTTTCAAACTTGACAGAAACAAAATACAACCAAACCAAAACCATCTCAGTCTTGTTAGTCATCTAATTAGTTAGTCCGCTGTTCCAACAATCACCAGCTCTGGTCTGGTTGAAATAAACTCTTAATTCAGTGAGTTAGATGCGAAAACATGTTGATCTACATCATCTCTGGCTCTCAGCTGTCCGCTGAGCAGCAGCTCTCACTCGCAGTGGCTCCCACTTGTTCTGTGGAGGCAGATACATGACATCCTGTTTCAAGAAATATGCAATTAATGGCAATAAATGAAGAAGGAAATAACAGTTACGGGGATATTTTAAAAGTAACGCATTGCTCATTTGAAAAACTACTCCACTGCTCATTTGCCGCAAGTCGGTTTATTTATACCAAGGCTGTCAAACTCATTTTAGTTCATGGGCAACATACGTCCTAATTTGATCTCAGCTGCACCTGTAAAAACACTGAAGAATAACCTATAGATAACAAGAACTATAAATGTTTCCTGTCTTTCTGCAAAAAGAAGGACAAGTACATTCTGTAAATGTTCGTACTTTTACAAAAAACATAATGAACAGCCTGAGATATCTTAAGAAAAGTAAGTGCAATTTCAACAATTTTTCCACATACAGTGAATCTACTACTCACACATGCACACATTTCCACTCCTGTGTTGTTATGTTGGGTTGCAGCAGTGTGAAGCGTAAAAAGAAAGAGTTTCAGACCTATATCAGGAAGTCAGAGCCAGTTAAAGGCGAGTGAACAGTTACGTTTTTAGTTTCCTTTTAGAAATATTTAGAGAGCTGGCTTCTCTGATATCTACAAGTAGTGTGTCCCATAGCTCTGGGGCATAATCACAAGACTGTAAAAATAATGGACGTAGCCACGGTGATGTCACCCATTGGTTTGTGGCGTAGACTGTTAATGGCGTAATTGACAAAGGCTGCATCCCCGATCTTCTTCTGGCTGTTACTGGGAGCCTCCAATAAACTAGCAGCAGATGATCGCAGTGCTCTTGGAGGCAAATAGTTAACACAGGAGTTAGCAATGGAGCTTAGTCTGAGCCAGTTTAGGGCTTTGTATATGAGGAGGAGATTTTTTTAGAGAGCTGTATTGTGTTCAGGGTGCAAAAGCCTCTGATGCAGCATTTTACATGAAGTAGAATACTCACTGTTTAACTTGCTCCTGAAACCTGGCATCTCTTAGCCTTCCCAAGTGCATCAATATTAGGCGTGCAGAGTCACCCAGTGGGTCAGATTGGACCCTTTAGTCGGCCAGATGTGGT